GGTGGCGGCGGCGGCGCGCTCTTTGTCTCGGTCCCCGCCGGGCCGGGCCGGGCCGGGCCGGGCCGGGCCGAGGAGCCTCCGTGGGTTCCCGCTCTCCGCTTGGGCCTGTGGCGTTGCGCGAGGCGCTGGCCGTAGCGAGCCTAGCCGTGCCCCGCCCAGATGCGGGCACGGCCGCAAACGCCCTTACGCGGCGTCCTGAGTTTTACACGGGGCCTGCGGCGCCCCCGAGCGCGGTCCCCGGCGCGGCCGCCTGGACACGCGGGGAAGCAGTAAAACCACGAGCGGAAACGTCCTTCCAGCGCGACGGTGGCTCGAGCCGGGACTTCGCATCTTGTCAGCTCCCCGCAGCGGGTAGTCCGTAGTCGCCAGGGTCTCGAGCCGCTCCTCTTGGAAACTGCCAGCTCTTAGTAGTACTCGCTTGTGTTTTGACTACAGAAAAACAATAGAGTTTTTTTTTCTGTTGCAAAGAACTGAGAAAAGTCGGACCAGGTCAGAATCTTTTTAAGGCAATGGATTTGTTTTTGACATCTCCGGGTTTGTCTTGAGAGTCATATTTGTACACTTACCAGTGCTCACATTGTGTGGCACCGTAGTGCCCTGGATGGGATCTTGAGGCACCCTTAAGGTGCTGCACAACCTGTTGGCAATTGCTGCTGCAGGGGAAAGAGCCCCCTTTACTAATGAAGTGCCACACAGATCATGGGTCTGTGGTGTAGGTGTAGGAAGATGTACCAAGGCATAGGCAGACTTTGCTAGTATTTCATTTTTTAATGTTTGTAAATCTGGTCATTCCTGCCTTGCCTGTGCAGGGAAAGCATCAACAGGTTGTTAAATGTTTTAGGCATTCTTGTAAACAAAATTATTACTGTGGGGAAAGTATACAGGTCCCCAAATGAATTATAGTTTCATAGTTGTTAGGGACTGGAAAGGAAAAAATTGTGGAAAGTGGCTTCTCAGGGGACAGGAATAGGATTGTTCCAGTCCTAGAGTTAAGAGTCCATTCAGATGATGGTATTTTTTTGCCTGTAGAAGTAACTTATCTATTGGACGTAAATAAGATGTGCCTAAAGCAATGATGAGTGAAGTATAGTTTGACCTGGTATTACCAAGATGTCATGTCTTGGTTCTGACCAGGGTATGATCATATAATCTTCTCTCTGAGCTCGTTCAGGCTATAGTCTCATCTGCTTCTAAATGCTTTTTATATATCCCTTTAATCTCTCTGACAAATGTATCTAAACAGCCATCGAGCAATATGATGGAAACCATTAGTGGAAAAAATAGGAAGAATTCTATATTAAGTTCTTGTATAAACATTTATTCAAAAGCTGTATTGGTACTGTCAATAATGTTGGGGCCACTGTATCTTCACTTAACAATCCATTATTTCTGAGGCTACTAGAGGTTCCTAGTTGCTCTTTTTGTCATAGAGGGTGATGTATCAAACCTCAACTATTCTGCCGTTCCATTTAATCTATTTGTAAGAAACCCATTCGTAATGGAAATAGACCAAGTTGTTTGAGAGACCTTGGAGGTCTCTAAACTACATTCTTATCCAGTTCTTTTTTGTTTTTTCTTCCAGGTTTGGCTGACAGCTTCACATCCACTTATCTCTCTTTTGTACTTTATGGAAGATCATGGAATAATTGAAGCCTGAAAAATATATAATATAGGAAAAAACACAGGAGTTTTATTACCTTTACATTGGTATTATTGGTGTGTTTCTGAGCTACAGTGATTGGTATTTCTCACCAGTGCAATAAATGAACACGTGCCGTGAAGTATAAGAGGAAGCATTACTAGGAAACAGAGTAGTGTGGATTTGTATATGTGCTGTACTCTTTCTGCTGACAAGCTATTCACTTTGCACAGTAGTGAGCTGCTCAAAAAAAACTGTACCTAGGGTTTGGGGGGGGGGGTTCTCTTTTATTTTGCCTTGTGAGCGTGAGTGAAGATGGCAAAGCATGTATCAAAGAAGAGGAAAATTAAGGAAGAAAATAATAGATTTCCAGAACATTGGGAAGTGGATTATACTGAACAGCTATCAAGTGCTGCAGCTTCTTATGCAGTAACTTTGCAGTTAGCCAAAGCAAAGAAACCATACAGTGATGGGGATCTAGTGAAAAAATGTGCAATTGAAATGGCCAGGGCATTTGGGGATGAGAACATGGTGAAAAACTTTGAAACAGTTTCACTCTCTCATCAGACAGTAGCCCAAAGAATTGAAGATATGAGCAATCAGGTATGTGAAAAGTTATTATACAATGTCAAAAAGTGTCGCTATTTTTCCTTATCGTTAGCAGAGATTACTGACCAAACTGAGACAAGTCAGCTTCTCATATTTATCAGAACTGTGGAGGAAGATTTCTCAGTGAAGGAGGAGTTGCTGTCTCTTGTCTCATTACATGACACTACAAAGGGAATAGATATATTTGAAGCTCTTCAGAACAGCGTGAGTGAATATGGTGGTTTTGAGAAATGTACCTGTATTGCCACAGATGGTGGTAGGACTGTTATTGGTTCTGAATTTGGATTATCAGATCTTCTGAAGAAGTCTGGTGTTACATGCCCCATGATTCACTGTGTGATTCACCAAGAATCTTTGTGTGGGAAATGGGTGAAACAAGCTGAAGCTATGAAAGTTGTTGTGAAGGTTACCAGTCTTATTTGTGGTGGAAATAAATCTTTGTTACACAGTAAATTCCACTCATTTTTGGAAGAAATGCAATTGGTGTATGGAGATTTACCTCTGGATTCCGAAATTCGTTGGCTAAGTGCTGGTAAGGTTCTCATAAAGTTCTTTGCTCTCAGAAAAGAAATTCCAGTGTTCCTAAAAGAACAAGTGAAAACTGACACCACAGAGCTTGAAGAAAGATTTTTGTCTCCCCAGTTTCTGGCCGAATTAGCCTTTTTGACAGATACTACCACTCACTTAAATGAATTAAATTTAAAGTTGCAGAGTAAGAATAACACAATATCAGACCTCTTTGGATGTGTGAATGGGTTTCGAAGAAAGCTAAAACTGTTCAAGGTTGGTCTTGAAAAGGGTGATCTTATACATTTCCCATCTTGCAAAGAACTGGAGAAAGAAATGGAAAATTTTGAAGGTGTAAACTTTTTGGAATTCTCATCCAATGTAGATGCTATGGTGAAAGAATTTGACAATCGCTTTACTGAACTGGAGTTACTGAAAAACACACTGATGCTTTTCAACAACCCGCTTGGATCTGTGCTTGAAAATCAGTCTTCCAACATACAGCTTGAACTGTGTGATCTACAAGCTGACCCATTCTTAGCTGGGAGACGAGAAATAGGCCAGGACTTCTTTAAGCTTATACCAGAGAATCGCTTTCCACATTTAAGGGATCTTGGTTTAAAGATTGTATCAATGTTCGGCAGTACGTATCTATGCGAAAGTGCCTTTTTTACAATGAAGTCTATAAAATCTCAGTATCCATGTTCGCTTACAGATGAGGCCCTCACTCGCTCACTTCGACTGGCCTTAACTGAGGAGTCAGTTGATATAGGTCCTCTTGTGCAGAAGATGGAGGATCCACAGTTTTCACATTGAAAAGTTAACTTACTTTTTTTTTTTTTTTTTTTTTT